CGGTCACGGCCTTCGATTCTTCGATCCGCGGTTGTGACATGCCAGCCCAGACCAACGCAGCTCCCGACTCCCCATGACATGGACTGGCACTGGACTCGACACATTCGCGGTCGTCGCCGAGTTATTCTGAGAACCGTGGCTCGCCGGAGCCCAGGCGTTGTCCGAAATCATTAATGTCCGAAGACGGCTGTCGAAGCAAAATTTTGTGCAGATACCTTCGATGCTCCGATGTAACACAGTGGTTGGTGTGTTACATTTGGCCGGTTTCATCCTTCTGTGTTAAAGTACAGTTATTCAAACCGAAAGTCTGTCAAATCGACCAACCTAACGGTCCGGGGTACGTGTTAGTTACTACTATCCCAAAGCGCGCAAACAGGGCGTGTCGGAAGAATTGAAAGAGAACGTTCCATATTTGAAGATATTGACATGCATCAAGTGTGATGGATAAGCACTCTTGTGGCTAGTTGCATGTCCTTCACGCGAAATATTGCTCTAAATCCGCATTTCCACCATTAGGAATCTCTTTCACTACATAATCGTTTGATTATGCCATAAAACGTTTTTATGACGTCAGAGTCGCCGCCAGATTGGCCGCGTCTGAGTTGTCACTGGTATCTGTATGTGCGAATTTATGTTTTTAACAGTATGTCCATATGTTTTGACCTTTTCTTGTAGTGTTTGCATGTTTTTGTTTTACTTGCATCTCCTTTCTTGGTTGCGAGCTATTCGTAAGCTATTCGAATCGCAGCATCATGTCCGTCTAGTCAACTAGTTGAATGGATAAATTTGTCAAGCTACCTAAATGGCTGTGATATGCGTCCCAAAAGGCAATCCGTGATCAATACGTACGATCAACGGCTCAACGTCGGTTGTTGGAAAGCAGTGTGTGTCGATGCAACAATTCGTGTTGACGTTCTCCGGCACGAACATTCCTTTGGCCTCATTATTCTTCGCAATGGCCTATTTTTGGGCTATTCAAAAAATTTTGCCCTGGAATCGGGAGATTTTGTGTGGCGTCTGAATGACGACATGCATGTCTGGGTGACTTAAAATACGCGGCTCAAAGTGGAACGCACAAGCCGCGTGGGCCGAGCTCAGAAACGAGACGATGTACAATTTCAAAACGGACATAACTGTTTACTGCAGCGTATAATCCTA